TAAATATGCTACGAAATGTGATTTCCATATTTAGCTTGATGAACTTCTTCAAGAAACAAAACGCATTGGTATAGAATAGCTTTCATTGTCGTTTTCTTTATTTATATTGTCTGTTTAGACATATTCTTGTTAATTATGCCTGACATTTTATACACACGCATAGACAGAATATCTAGTTATATCCTAAAAGTATTTGGATTAAATCATCAGATATCTTCATATGATACCTAGTACGTATATTCAGCGACACTTTCACGTCCTCAAATATTCGTTATATATGTTTTCAGTTCGAAATATATCAATTTCTACAACTTTCAATTCCAATGAATTTTCCACAGTCTGAGATCAATTAATTGTCTTTGCTTATGAAACCTAATTCCGTTCTTCTGAATTACACAAGAGATCCAACTTAATTTAAAACTCCATTAAGATTGGACTAGTGCCTTTGCGAAGGAAATCATCTTCTTTATGAGCCTATCTTTTTTTTTTCTTTTTTTTTTTTTGAGGTGCTTGAAACGTTTCAATAAATTCCAATCCCTACCCATTTTTTTCGCTTTAAGCAATTCTATGCCATTGTTATGCTCTCTTTACGTTAAGGAGTATTATGCATTATGTTTAGCGCCAGAATGTCTGCGAATTTCATTAAAATCAGCACACATTTCAAATATCTTATGCATATTCATATTATCCTGACAACGCTAATTGTAACATTCCTTGAATGGCAAAAATAATTGCTAGAATAATTTTTGTCACAGTTCATATCATTTTATTTTTTACGTGTATCAAAATTAAAACAAAAACAATAACAAAACGAAACACTTAATTTCCAAAGTCAAAATAATATATTAACACCTTACAATCGTACTACTGTTTGTCCCTCACCGAACGGGCAATCACTAAACTAATAATTGTATATTTTGCAAGTCACCAAATGAAATAAAGAAAACCTTAATTTTCGGAGCGTTAATAACAAGTGACAATAACACTACACGTTATCCATCACTAATACAGTGAAGAGTAAGCCGGTTCGATTAATAATCCACCACTAATTTCCATGATAACAATTTCAGTTTTCCCTGCTCGTCATGGGAAAATTCCGCGACAGTTTGGTAACATTACCTGCTGCACCAGCCGTTTTTTGACCAATTTAAAATACTTTGTTATATATTTATATTTTCCAAAATGTTTTCCTCGCCTTTATTGTCACATTCACAACGTTTCAGCCCTTGTACCCTTCGGCATTCTTCAGGTTATATTTGATTGAATTTCGAATCGGACCCAGAATAGTCAATCTGTATGTTGATGTTTCTGAAGATTGGTGCGATGACGTTTGTGTAAAAATTATGTTTTTCGAGTGGGGTTTTCTTCAGCTAATTATTTTGGCAACATCGTACCTAGTTTGACCAATATAGAACACATTGGATAAGTCAATATGTTTTTGTAGCAGTTGCGTAAAGGAGCCGCTTCCAAGAAAGGATGTAGAAAAGTTATTACAATAATGATGTGAACAACAGTCCAAATAATGTAAATAGCATAAATAGTTACAATAACTAATCTAAGAAATATAATGTTAAATCACTTATTAGACGATTCTACTTGTTTTTTTTTTGGGGGGGGGTGCCTATTTCTCATAACATGCTATTGTTTAAATCCGGTCATGCTTTTAATGTATATAGGATGTGCTTTTCATAGTATGATGGATAAGCATTATACGTTATCCATAACAAATGAACTAGAACTTGATTTTCATATAGATTTTATCTTAAACCACGTGCAATGATTTGCAAAATGTGCAATGATATATAGAGTATTTTAAAGGTAGCATGTTGGATTATGTGTATTTTGGTATAACATTAGTAATCCGTCTAAAATCTTATCTGGCTCTTACAGCTCTCGAGAATGCCGGATTAGTGATAGTAACACAAATTAGAGAGTAACTATCTTTTAACGGTCTTTCTTTAGGTTTTTTTAATAAAATACATTAAATTGATTATGTTTTTAACCGATGATTAATTTGGCTTAGAAATATTACTGATTATCAATGAGAATAAATAAAACATATTTCATATATTATATATATATATATATATATATATATATATATATATATATATATATATATATATATAATTATTTATTTAGAAAATTTATAAGATAAACATGTTATAAAATCGCTACAAAAAATAGCCATTTTATTTCAACACTCCCGGTGTCTTATCAAGTGATGATGTTGAATGCAAAACAAATGGTTTTAAAAGTTTCAAATTAGTTAACGATCCTTCACAAGGGGAAAACGTTGTTCCAAAAGCTAGAATGACCGATCAAAATACAAGTATAGGAAAATTCAAAAAGCCTGGCAACGAAGTCATGTTATAATAGCTATTCAGATCGTTAAAATAAGGGTAAAATTAAAAAAGAATTTATTCTAAACAATAATTATTAAATTATATGATAGAATTTGATATTAAAATTAAAAACTGCCAATTTTAAAATCCAAATTTAATCACTATTAAGTTTAAAATTATAAAATTACCGAGGAGAAAAGGGGAAATACATATGTTATTCAATTTATTTCTTCGTTGAAATTACGTTAAAATAGACGTTACTCCATCCGGTCCTTTGACAATATACACGTATACATTTTAAACCCAAGTGTACGAATGGGGTCGTAAACTCACGCGTAAAACGACACAAAAACAATCAGATTATAATACATAAGCATCCAGACATATTTAGATTTATATACACACAAATGAAATTTTTAAGAATAGTAATTGTTGGTTATTGGAATTCATTCCGTATACACAAATTATATACTTGGTTATATATATATATATATATATATATATTACTATTATTATTATGTTATGAAATATACATGTGCGTGTATTTATATGAATTAAGAAATTTAAACTAAGAACACCCACTAAATTTAATGTTTCCAATAATAAATATATACAGTCACATAAAATGAATGCACACATACAATACAATAATAATAATCCGTTCTAGTTAACTAATTATCTTCTTGATTTCAATTTGAAATTCATCAAGGAAGTGTCAAGAGTTTTTGTTAACCCAAATGCTTTCTTTTTGTAGTTATGGTTTATTTTTTTTCTTGCACGGATATATTTCAAATTTTAAAAGAGTTATTACCGAGCGCAATTGAGTATGATCTCAAAGGAGATCAAAATTACTCGGGTTGACAAATGAATAAGGTGCATTCAACTAAATATCAAGAAGCTAATTCGAGAACTAGAAGGAATTATGATAAATAAAATAGACATGATATTACTATATTATTTAATGGAAATGCTTGAAACAAGATATGCTGTAGAATACCCCATATATATATATAAGAAAGAACAGTAAGATATATAATCCGGTGTTCTTATAGATATTTTTATTTTTACAAAATAGTTTTCAATGTAAATTTACAGAGCATTAATATTATAAATTAATTGATTTAAAATATTTTTTGCTACACAGTTCTAACCATGTTTCAAAACTTTTTGAAACATGGTTAGAACTGTGTAGCAAAATACATTTTAAATCAATTAATTTATATATATATATATATATATATATGTATTGCTAAATATAACACACAATGAATGTCTATTATGTTTGATAATGAGCCCTTCTAAACACCGTATATTAGCTTTAATATCAGGTGAAAGTAAAGACAAAAATTGTCCAATATTTGGATATCTTTTTATTAAGGTGTTCCTTGATCTAAAATATCCAAATGTTGGAAATTTTTTGTCTTTATTTTAAACCGAATATTAAAGCAAATTTATGGAGGTTAGAATGGTTCATAATTAAATATTAGACATTCATTGTCAGCTATATTTAACAATATTTGTTTAAGCAATGAACTGCCACAATACACTATTATATAGACAGCCTGTTTCGGTGTGTCACAGATCATCGGTGTAGCTAGATATCCGATTGCTTCTAGCCGGGATCGAAACTAGACCGATTTGGTATCAGAGAGGAACTATAATCGAACAGCTGCGTGTCAGTGTATTAATATGTATGTATAGCAATAAAATTAAGTTTTCTCAAGATTTGCATTCACACACACACACACACCACACACGCGCGCTTAAATTTAAATATCGTTTATAATTTATTTCGTTAAAATTTGTTTTATCTTTCGGTCAGAAGAGATGAATATATCGGAATATTCGCGAAATAAATTATAAACAAAATGGAGCTTTTAAGCTTCCTTCGTGATTTATTATTATTATAATGATCTGCAGTTTACATTGAGCTCTCTCTGGATTAATATCCTCTTGGAGTTATCCCTACTAGTTTCAAATCTGTAATACATATATATACATATATATATATACATATAAATATAGATAACTAGACTCGTTTCGAAAAACCCTCGAATTTTTGATTTGCTAATCAAATCAATCTCGAGGGAAAAAAAAAAAGGTTTTAAAAAAAAGAAAGAGCTACAAATATGGACTTCTGCCGACAAAAAAATCGCACAGATGCAGGTCTGAAGCCCAAAGAAAACACCCCGATACGAGTAACAACTAACTAACAAAAGAGCTCAATACAACCGTAGAGCAGACCTATATATATATATATATATATATATATATATATATATATATATATATATATATATATTCGTATATATATAGACGCGTATGTGTGAGTATTTGTAGAGAGAGAAAAAGACATTAAATGTGAAAGAAAGAAAATAAGTGAAAAACAGAAGGAGATAATATGTGTCCACGAGAAAAAAAGAAACATTTAGTATTACGAGCCTACATCTTAGTTTTCATTTTATTATTATGCGTTCCATGCAGTTGACTTGTAGCTCATGATTGTTATGGCTTTCCAGACGAGCTAACATCTTGCACACTTTCAGTCACACCCTGCAGCTCTCCTTAGGGTTCTTAATGAACGTTATTTGGGCATGACTCTTGTTACCATACTTTTTCACGTGGCAATTAAAGCCACTTAAATACATGAGTGGCTTACGGCCACATCGCGTTGAAACACCGGCTCCCGTACTACCACCGAAGTTAAGCAACGTCGAATCTAGTCTCTACCTAGGTTGGTGACCGCTTGTGAATATCAGGTGCTGTAAGTTTGAAATTGCAAGTGGTGTAATGGATAATGACACGGAATTTTTAATCGGAGTGCCGAGTTCTAATTCCAGTTGTGTTCGTTATATCCGTTTGGATGTATATATTAAATATTGTAATGTCGGCGTACCAAAGAAGAAAGTAATACTTATTTTGATATAACATAAACATGTGGCACAAGGTTAAATGTTGGGTATGAGGATGGCTGGTCTTCAAACTGTCTTATCTTAAACTTAGCTAGCCACGATTACTGACCCAAACGCACCACAATATTTCTTACACAAAGAACACACTCTTACTTACCATTCTTATTATAACCCTTATAATACGCCAACATTCTTTGTAGCACTAACTAGTTCCCATATGTACAATTTGTCTGAAGAAGTAAGGCCATCAGATGAATTGCTATGAAAATAGAAAACATTTAGAGTAAAGCTAGTTAAGACGTTGGAAAGTGACAGAAGCCGAGATGTCAGGTCGGCAATGCTATTACATTACAGATCATTCTTTCAAAGGGACAGATGTGCCAGCAATTTTCAATGCATGAACGAATGGTAAACGTATAAATGTGTACTACTTATTCTATATAAATAATTACAGAAAAAAAATATTGAATACATTCACAATTCAGTTTTATATTTTATATTATTTGTGTTTGCTACATATCATAGCTGGAAAATGTTGAATTCTATAAATCCGATGCAAGGAACTCGTATGTGTCCTAGAAAATTCAGTGGGGAAAATATCGATCCAATCATTTTAACATCTTCTAGTTGAGTCAAATTCCTGCGATAAAATCGGCAAATCTCTCTCTATGGAGGTGGGTATCTTCTCGTGGCGCCCTCGAGCCAGCGATTAGATAAACACAATTCTTATGGCAGCTAGAGATATCTGTAACAATCAGTCAGAGATAAATTAGTAATGCAATATGCAGCCGTATAAATGATAAAAAATCGCATTAATCAAATGCTGATAGCTGGACAATGCCAAACATAGGAATCTATTGTTTTTAGTAAATCGTGTCAAGGATATTATACTCGACCTAATAATGAATGAAATCATCGACTTAATACTGAATGCCATCTTTGTCAGTCTTTACTCTTAATGACGACCTCTTTTTATTTTACCATCTGATTCTTGATTAGGAAATTTATTGTCACTGATGTCCAAATTTTCTGGGTATTATTAGAATATCTGTCAAAGGAACATTTCTTTTTCCACGACTTTATTTTTTCGTATTTCATTTTTTTTTCCTTGGTTACACTTTATTAGAAAAATAATAAAAAATAATAATATAACATACTTCTCGAAATAAATGCATTTTCAAACATTCAACGGCAATGTATAATTCACTTCGTGAACAAAACCACGATTTGAAAATTACACATTTCTCGTCACTTCTCTTGATAAACGTATGGAATTCTTATAGATTTCGGCATCATATACTGAATATATCACTTGCATGGACTAATCTGTGTTTTTATCTGAACTAAACTAAATACTGAGTAACAATGAATGGCTTGGAAAATCAATGTGCCCTAAAGAAATTGGAGAGTCAAGCTCCAATTTCATTTGGGTTTGTTGCATACACTTACGTGTAACTTCGAAAATTTATGAAACCTACTCCTCCCCTAAGCTATGGGTTAAAAGTAGAGCTTGTTTCTGGAAAGTTCATTGTTATTCTCAAAAAAGTGATAATGTAATATTTACTCGCGAATGTTTTAAAATCCAAAATATATGTTTCGGATTTAAATAACAAAATGAATTGACAAGCTGTAAAAGATGCCACCTACTCCATGAAGTGAGTGTGAATAATTATGTTTTTTTTTTTTTTTTTTTTTTTTTTATCGTGGTAAAATATAAACAACTATTATTTCAATGGGGGAATGGGTATAAAAAGGAACTGCGATATTTAGAACTGGTTCAAATAGATGTGAAATGATTATAATATAAAGGCAATGTTCTAGTGATAGTAACATAGATATATTGACAGACGGATTGTTGTTTTTTTTTTATAGCAACAATGCAGAATGCTAGTCGTGACGTAGTTGTAATTGCATAGAAGATATTTACTTAGTATACACCGAGACGCTTGGCTCAAATAAAATATTGTCTTAATGCCGTAGCCTAAATAAGGATTGTAACTAACCACGTGCCTCATTTAATGATTGCATTGCATCTATCCTCTCCTGGCAAATACCGGCAGGACACCGGTCCATGTCGCAAATCAAAAATATTGGCAGATTGAGTCAAGGATAGGAGAAATTAGTTTTCTGCATTAAATCAGTCGCTATAGTTACCGGAATTCAGTGCCATAGAGCAAGTTTAGGTTGTGGTGGAAAGGGAGATTTGAATACTGAATGTCCAACAAAATTCTCCAAAAGTATTGCAGAATGGTAAAGCAAAACAGCATGATAATGAATTCTGAAAGAATACTTTGAGAACATGATGAAACCCATACCAAGAAGTATTCACCTAGTTCTAAATTCTGAAGGGTTTATCTTTTCAGATTAAAGGTGTGGGTGTCCAAGGTCTTTCCCCTTGCATCTACTATTGAAACTGACTCCAATCATTTTTTTTAACTGGGGTAAGAAATGACATGTTAATTTTTATGCATCCAAAACGTTATCATTAACCTTTAAGCGTCATAAGGATCTTTTTTTTTTACTTTCCATCAGCAAGGCAGATGCTAATCCCTAGGAGAGCAATTATTTAAGCTTTCTTGGTCTCAGGTTTCCCAGTGACATGAAAAGCACTGATTATCTTGCTAGGACTACTGCTAGGACAGTTGGTTCACTGAATCATTTCAGACAATTCCTAGCGCTAGTATCCTCCTTACATGTTTATCTATCTACAAATCGTCCGTGCACTGAATACTGTTTCCATATCTGGTTTGTTGACCGTTCTATACATTTTGTAATCCTCGATAAAATACAACGAAAGATCTATAATATTATCTGTCCTCACCTGGCATCCCTGTTCCAGTTACTTACCCAACATCGTGACATGTCTTCCCACTGTTTTTTTATATGTATATTTTAATGCCTGTTACTCTCATGACACCGTCTAATTGGTACGTCGACCACACGAATTTAAGCGCCATTTTAGATTGGCAACTCGGTTTCGTGTCGAAATATATATCTATAAGCGTTATTCTAATATATATTCTATCCTATATTCTCTCTTCCAGTTTCTACAATCTTAAATAAATTACATGCAATATCAATCGCTATCTTCTCTCTTTCACTCTCTCTGAACACTGTTCTTTTATTCTTTCTCCTCACATGCATCTTCTCGTTTTCATTCATTTTCAGTAACTCCTTCCGTCTTAGTGGCATTATCGCCTTTTTTGTTGTGAAAAAGATTTAAAAAAATGTTAATATATTAGTCATTTTTTTTAATGATAATACTTTTTAGCAATATGCACAATAAATCTTTTGGCAACATGGCATTTTGTCATACAACTTGAGAATTGTATTATATATAAATATGTATCACTTATGGTGCACCAAAAGAGGCGACGGTGTTGAATATAATATTACTCCTTTAATAGACAATATTATTATAACTTTATGTAATAATGAATATTTTTAAATGGAAATTGAATAAAATTACTTATGGAAAATAGCACACAATATGTGGCCGTTATTTGGGGCGTCACAATCACGACATTCAGATGAAGAAAACTTTCATCTGCGTTCGTTAACTCTTAGATTTATCGAGTTAAGTTATGCCGCTTCGCATAATCTATTTGCTTTATGTTTTTCTGCTATCTGCATTTTGTAGGAAAGTTGGTGTTCTTTCCTAATGTGGTGTAATATTAGAAACCCACTAAAACTGCAAAGATCGTCTTCGACTAGACATTCCCTGTTCTTCATCTGTGGTGTTCAATACACGTTCAGTATTTCCTGAGTTGAACGTGGTTTTGGCAAAGTCATGTACAGAGCCTGTTTGCTGAAACTGCCCTACCAAACGTCGAATAATTGATTGAGAGGGCGGATTTCTTACATTGAAATCACGTTGGTATGACAATTGAATGTTGAATTTCAAAATAAAATTGGACACTTTTTGTTCGTTGTTGTATTATGAACTTATCTATAATAATATTACCGAGCTATATCTCTCTAAATCTGAAAGAAATAGGACAACAATATCAGTTATCTGAATAGTTATTAAATTGCAATATCACGTGGCGAGTTTTGGAACACCCATATAGTATATGTATTAATTTTATTTTCAGTTCAGTAAAATTCGTCATAGAACGTAAGGAAGATGTTGCCTCAAAAGCGAAAAGTATGCATTAAAGATCAGACGCGATGGACACAATTTTAGAAATTCTTATAATATTAAACAAATTAAAAGAAGAGACAGAAAATAGTGAAACAACTATATTGAATTTTAAGCTTCTTATTCGAATGTTGCAGGTTTTGTGCATTTGTTGGTGTACAAGAGAGGGCTACATTTATTCGTTTCGACAGTGAAAGGGTGAGACCGAGATGCTGACCTAGTAGCACGCTTAAATTGATGCAGTTTGTGAACCAATGAAAGTAGCTCGTTGGAGCTGTTGCCATGAAAATCCTTGTAGAAAAGACGGAGGGAAACCTCAGCACGTCTGTGAGAAAGCGACAGCAGACGTTATGCCAAATCAGGACCAATCACTTTGCATATCCGTCTCTTGGAATTTCTTTTGGACCTCGAGATGAACAGCGGGAGCTCCAGACGATATATATCAGCAGTATTCCATGCGATAACGAATGGTTGATTTGTAGATTTGAGGGAGAGACACAGACAAGAAAAAACTTCTGGAGCAACACAGAGAACCAACTTTCCTTGCGGTAGATGAAGCTATAGATTCAATGTAGTTGTTCCTCTTCAAGTGAGTGGTCAACGTGAGACCAAGCAGGCGCAGAGAGGCCGTCTTGGAGTAGGGGCATCAGCCATCCTGATGGAAAACAACTGGGAAGCAGTGGTTTCATTTCGGGAGATAGGTTTCAGGTGATGAT